CCGCACTCCAATGGCATAATACCGATGGATTGGTTTGTGTTCGGACCAACAAAGGAGAGAGGTCATTGTGTCTCCCCTCGTTGCACCTTTCTGCATATCTCTTCTTGAAATAGCAGACTCGCAGTTAATATTTTGGTTCTATTGCTTATTACTGTGAATTGTGTGAATGCTTCTGTCTGCAGCAGCTGCGCAGCCTTTCTCGCAAACAACTCTTTAGTGCCAAACTGGCTGAGAGTTCGATCCTCCAGCTTTCATAACTGATCTTTTTGTTGATTAGAGAACTTCTGGAAGTGTTAGAATGGCTATTTGAACGGGCATGAAAGTTAGCAGAACTTAAGAGCTGGAAGTGTATGTTATGTCGAAGGCCCGAAGAGCTCTGGTCTGTATTTTTTGCTGGACATGTCAAAACTACACGCCCAAGGCCGGCAACGCTGTGATAAAGGAACCGAAATATGAGTCCCTACTGCCTAGGGGGGGCCCAAAGAAGCAAGGGATTTTGTAGGTTACGTACTTGTTACTCTTAGATTCACAAAGTCATAAGGACTTGTACTTTTATAATCCCTTGACTTACTTTTAAGTTCCACACGGCAATTGTTGTGGTGGTGCGCCTAACTTGCATCCCCAGTCTGCACCTAGCGTGTACATTTTACAAAAGCTAGAAAACAAATTTAGAGATTTTGATAACCATTTTGTGTTTAATGTTATTTTTTTAATTATCTGTGATAAAGATAGAGGAAAGGAATATGAGGAAAAATATGAACAGCGAAGGGTGAAGGGAGGGAGAAACGAAGGATGATGCATGAGACAAACTTGGAAGTGAAATTAATTTAAATAGTTCTCAGTTTCTTACTTTTGGTTTCAATTTTGTGTACCCCTTCATATTCATTTCTTTCTTGTCATTATACCATTCTTCTTTTCTCAATTCAGATCCTTTCTGGATCTTTGTGTCCATAGACGATGGACTAGAGAATCTGGAATGTTCAAGAGAGAGAGAAAGAGATTTGGGCCATCTAAAGTCTTAGTTTTGTGTGGGGTGCGTTTGTGGGATGAGTTAATGACGCATAACTCTAACAAGTAATCATATTATATATATATATATATATATATTACTAATAAAATCTAAATTACCCATTAATAAAATTCTTTTTGTCAACCAAGCATAGGTAAAAAGATAATTTGCCACTCAGTACTACAGTTTGGTGGTATTTCTTCTCACTTGGAAGTGAGAGGTCTTAGGTTCAAATCTCGTGGATGGCGAATTCGATATCAAAGTAGGCTGCCTATTGTTTGGCTTAACCGAACTCCTTATCTCCTTAGTGCAAAAATATCGATGTACTTAAAAAAAGACAATTTTACCCAAACTAATTTTTTTTTTCTTTTCCAAACTTCACTTACATATCAGCATAGCATCTCTAATATAAAAAAATAAAAATGAAAAAACTCAGATTCTCTCTCCCTTGCACTCTCTTTTTTCTCTCAAACTACTTTCTTTCCATATTATGGTTTTTCTTCTTTTTAAAAAATTTATATGTACGCATGCATAAAATATAGAGTGAAGTGCCGCTTTAGTCTCTAAACTATCATCTCAGGGAAAATTAGGCTCCTGAATTATTTTTTGGGTAAAATAAGCCCCTAATTTCGTTCCTACTATTATATTCAAAGTTATTTTATTCAATTTTTCGTCAATTTAAGTCACTTGACAGACTTTATAGTGTAATACCGTCATTTTCTCGTCTATAAGCCCTTAACATTTCATATAGGTTGCAAATCTAACATCTAATTTACTCTTCAAAGTTAATTCCATGCACTATTTTTATGAAAAATTACCAATCTACCCTCCAATGTGTATCAAATGAAAGTAACGTTACTTAAATTGACAAAACATTGAATATAATAGTTTCAAATCTAATATTAAGGATGTAATTGGTAGATTTTTATAATTTAGTGACTAATTTTTCTAAAAAAATAATTTTAAGATCTAATTTTTACTTAAGTGATAATTCAAAAACTATATTAGCAGTTTACTTTACAATATATAAAATGGTAAAATGGTATGAGTAATCCCACAATACACGTAATATGGCCAAAGGTGACAGGATTTTTCTGGGCGTTGAAGTGGAGGAGGGTTTGGGGCCTCAAATTAGGAGGGGTGGGCCATGCGTGTTTAGTGTGTGCCGTAGAAGATCCGGTGGTCTGTTATCATACGGTAGAATTCCATCAACGCAATTTAAAATATCATGAAGGTTGTAAGAGAGTAGGCGTCAGTATTACTGTCTAGTAATATTTCTCTTTATTTGTAAGTAAGAGGTTTTAAGTTTGAATCTTGTAGAGGGCGAATTCGATACCAAATTAGATTGTTCACTGTGTGGCTTAGCCGAAATAAGGATCTATTGTGTCCTAACTACCGACCATCATCATTTGAGTTTGATATGATGTCGTTCTTATCATTCTCTTCCTGAACTCAACCCCCATACCTAGTATGATCACGACTTAGATTCAAAATAAAAATCCCTTTAACCGGAAGAATGAAGGAAGGAGGACGGAAATAGAAAAATAAGAAAAAAGCAAAAGCAAAAGTAATAGTATTAAAAGACTTTAAAGATTAAAAAAAACAAAGAAAAAAAAAACCAGCTCTCTCGCCAACTTCCTGTCTCTCCCTCTTCTAATGATTACCTGAGCCCCTCAAAACTTACAGTGATGTCGGTTAACTGCATAAGAGTCACCAACCTCAAATCGAACTTAATGAAGGAATAAGGAAAAGATTGGGGGCTCTAATATCCTGAAAAGTCTTTGAAAATTAGAGAGGTAGCTCTAGTTTTTTTATATGGAAAAAAATTATTAAAGTCGGCCTGAGACCATCCTTGTTCCTTCATGGCTCCACGCCTGCTCCCTTTCCACCAAATTAGTTTATATTGGTTATTTGGTTCGTGGTTTTCAATATCGTTCCATCTTCTTTTCTAGGATTTAACAAAACTTCCTTTTACATCTTTAATCTCTTATTTTATGTACTTCGGCTTTACTATTTTCAGCCCTTCACACGTCAAATTTTTACTCTGTCCTGGCCATAACGGTGTTTTAGTGCCATACAATAAATGGGTATTGCCTCCCATTTTTTTATTTGTGAGTCTGTGAGTCTGTGAGTCTGTGAGTATGGGAAAGGCTGAAAGCAAGACACCGCACACTCCACGACAATGTATACATACATGGATATTTGTGAGTCTGTGAGCCTGTGAGTCTGTGACTATGGGAACGGCTGAAAGCAAGACACCGCACATTCCACGACAATGTATACATACATGGATATTGCCTCCCATTTTTTCTTTGTGAGTCTGTGACTCCGGGAAAGGCTGAGAGCAACCTCTTCCAGTCGTACTTTGGAATCGTAAAGTACAAACTACAAACCATGATGCACCAAATTAAGTGCATAATTAGTCGGTTCACGTTTTTCCTTAATTAATCTTCATTTCACGCTGGAGAGCTTGCGCAGTGATGGATAATTTGCATGGAAGCAACTGTTACTTGAATAAATAAATAAATAAATAAATAATAGAGGAAGCAAAGCATGCATGCAAGCAATTCATCATATATACAGGAGAGTTAAAAACACACCCTTTCGGCCTTGATGCATGCATGCAACGTTGTTTCCCTACAATTTCCACTTTAACCGTCGCTGTATTTCACCCCTTTTTCCAATTTTTACTCATCATCCTTGTAAATGATCAAGGTTAACTTATGATGATATATAATCGATAACAATTACGTCAACAACTTTCTAAACTTTTTCTTCAGAGATTTTTTTTTTCATTTAAAAACCATATATATCCCCTTTTGAACTACAAGACAATTATTATTATAATATTTTCTGTCAAAGTAAACGATACAATTAGTTAATTTTCTACTTAATTAATAAACTTAATTACTGTAACATGTTTGATTTAATTGAGTAGTTTGTCATCTGTAATTATCTGACTCCTTTTGTTTATTTAAGTATATATTTAATAAACTTTATTACCGCAAATTGTCCCAGTAGGTCACGGTAGCAGCGTACCTTATCCATCCACTGGGTTAAATAAGGACTGTTGAAATTTAGAAATATATATATATATATATATATATGTATGTATGTATGTAAGATAAAAATTCTTAGATGGTTTAGGTCAATAATGAAAATTAGGCCATAACGGCGGAGGGTGTTCCATTTTCCATGATTGATAAAACACGCAACCCCTTGACCAACTTGGTCCATTGTTAGGCCGAAGACCTTATAGGTTTTGGAGACTTTTCTTCAAAAATTAGGGAGTCCTTCATGCGGAGATGGTGGCATAAAACGAGAATTATGAAAGTAAGACACAGCACCTTCCACGATAACGTAAGAATACATGGTAAGTGCAAAGTATGTATATGTATAGTTTTCTTGCCAAACAAATGTTGTCAATTGTTAATATATACACACACACACACACACGAGTTTTCTTGCCAAACAATATATAAGTTGTTATGGTGGCAGAAAACCTATATGAATTGCTATATGGGCCCTTGTTTGACTGGACGGCCTAAATTGATAGTCTGACAATATAAACAATAAGGGGGTGTATTTAATTGAGAATTTGAGAGACTTTAATGGATTTATAAATCCATGGATTTTTATGGAGTTTAATTGATTTGTAAAGATTCCATATAAAATTTTGATTCAATTCTCTCAAAATCTCATGGGGAGAGGTGAGATTTGTGGATGATTAAAATACACTACGAAATATCTCCAATTCCCTCTAATTCCTCAACTTTCTCAAATTCTTTAAAATCAATTTCTAATTGAATACACCTGGAATGTTATAAACTTCTTTAAAATCCTAATTAAATACACCTAGATTTCTAAGGATTTTAATAAACAATCTTAAAATTCTAATTGAATACACCTTGAATTTCAGAGAATCACTTAAAATCCTGATTGAATACCTCTAGATTCATTAAAAGAATTAAAATCCCTCAAAATCTCAATTGAATACACCCCCCTAAATATCTAATAAGATCGAGAAGAAGCTAGATAGTAAGGCCAAGGACTTGTAATTGAAGTTCTCATAGACTTGACTATATAGCATAGAAGTACAGGAGGCCTCCTCAAGGTGTCTTGGAGGATAGCTTGAAGCATAAACATGAAGAGGAACAATCGGAAGCATTTGTATGAGTTGTTGGATGGGACAGGATTGCATCGGCATTTTATAGGAACAAGTTGGAGGCCATTGCAGAAGAGAAGTGCAATAGCTTCTTTAATCTTCTTCCTGTTGTTGCTGCTTTTGTGTGTTGCTGCGTTGTTATCTGCTGGCTGGATTGATACTGTAAGTTCAATGAACTCATAATGCTAGATTATACATAAAGTTTGAATAAAGGAATTCTAGTTTGTCACAGGGTATGTTTATTATCTTCTATATTTTGTTTCTTTAAATAAGATTATTTATAACAAAAATTCTAAACTAAAGAAAAACATATCGAAGGTATTTATCGACCACCTTACTTGAAGTGGATCCATATATTGCAGAGGTGGTCAGAAAATGTAGTTTGGAAAATAATAACGCTACTATACAGAAGGGCTTGGTCGTTCGACGACTATTGTAGTCTTACTCTCTTCTCACTTAGCACGAGTGGAAAAAACTAAGATTTCCAAAGCTTGGTCATAGAAATACAATAATAGTTTACTTCCTTGTTGTTCAGAGCAATTAGAAAGAACCAACTTCAAACGCCAGATGGAGTGTTTAATCTTTTTACTTCTCTAATATTTAATTTTATTTTTTGGTACCTTTGCATTTCACATAAAAGATTCTTTTGTATCAAAATTTCGCATTATACTAACGTATAAAATATTTTCATCCCTTCTCTCTTTCTCAGAGAAAGTTTATATTTTCAGGTACTTATTCTAACGAATCAATCATACCCACAAAAGAAACCCCAAAAAGAACTGAATTCCCTCTGCAGTGTACCAAAGGAATTAATGTAACACAAACTTGTCCAAGAACCTACCCTACCACACACAACCCCACAAATCCTAACCATCCATCAAACCTCACATGCCCGTCACACTTCCGATGGATCCATGAAGATCTAAGACCATGGAAAGGGACGGGAATCACAAGGGACATGATAGAGCGGGCCCGAAAGACTGCGCATTTTAGGCTTGTGATCGTGGACGGAAAGGCCTACATAGAGAAGTACAGACAATCCATACAAACTAGGGACATGTTCACGTTATGGGGCATTTTACAGCTTTTAAGGGTTTACCCTGGTAGATTGCCTGACTTGGAGCTCATGTTTGACTGCGATGATCGGCCTGTCGTCCGATCAAAGGACTTTCGGGGGCCTAATGTTGACCCGCCACCGGTGTTTCGATATTGTGCAGATGAGGAGAGCTTGGACATTGTGTTTCCAGATTGGTCCTTTTGGGGCTGGTAAAATTGCTTATGTCTTACTCTTACAAATATATAGTGTTTTTGCATGTGAAATGCCCTTTGTTTTTGTTTCTTTGTTTATTGGAAGGAACCATATGTTACACATGGAATCTTGCAAACTCTTCTTTTAATTTTGGCAGGGCTGAGATCAACATAAAACCATGGAGAAGTTTATTGCCAAGCATAAAAGAAGGCAATAAAAGAACAAAGTGGAAGGACAGGATCCCCTATGCTTACTGGAAAGGTAACCCTCATGTGGCTCCAACCAGAAAGGACCTTCTCAAATGCAATGTCTCAGAAAAAAATGACTGGAATACACGCCTATATATACAGGTAAATTTCTCTATATATACACAAATATAAATTCCTAATGTATTAGTTTGTGTACTTTCTCGTACCCAAATTAATCTCAGAAACTGTTTACTTTCGTATAATAGATAACACTGCGTATTTCTATTTGTTATTTTAATTTTCAGGATTGGGAGAAAGAATCTAAACAAGGGTACAAGCAATCCAACTTGGAAGACCAGTGCAAGCATAGGTAGTTTTCGATATCTTTTCATTTGAAGTTCCACTTATTAACAACTTAAAACTTTCTTCCTTTTTGCTGTGTTGTACTGATATATAGAGCTTAATTTGGTTTGCACAGGTATAAAATTTATGTAGAAGGATGGGCATGGTCTGTAAGTGAAAAATACATCATGGCATGCAATTCTATGACGCTGTATGTAAAGCCTCGGTACTACGATTTCTTTATGAGAGGCATGACGCCATTGCAGCATTACTGGCCTATTAGGGACAACAGCAAGTGCACTTCTCTTAAGTTCGCGGTGGAATGGGGCAATAATCACACAGACAAGGTTATATGTCTCTGTCTATGTCCTAGTAAAACTTCAAGCATACGATGAAATTGTATGGATTTTTTGTGAAACAATAGGGCATGTTATGTTGCATACTGTGAATTTGAACTGTAGGTTCATGAAATTAACATTTTTGGTATCTTGTAAATATGGCAGGTGCAGGAAATTGGGGAGGCAGCTAGCAAATTCATACAAGAAGATCTAAAGATGGACTATGTGTACGATTACATGTTTCATGTGCTAAATGAATATGCAAAGCTCTTGCAATTCAAACCGACTATACCTCCCAGTGCAGTGGAGGTATGCTCAGAAACAATGGCATGTGCTGCAAATGGTACATGGAGGAACTTCATGGTGGAGTCCATGGTGAAGTATCCTAGTGATGAACTGCCATGTACTCTGCCTCCTCCATACGATTCTCCGGCTCTTCGTAATATTCTTGAGAGAAAGGCTAATTTAACTAGGCAAGTAGAAGTTTGGGAAGATGTATACTGGAAAAGTAGGAATAAAACGCAATAGAACCTTTTCCAATGTCTCCTGTTGTGCATTTTCTATGTGTTCCATAGGCTATGACTTGTAATTTTATGTCCCAGACTTAAATGAAGAGATTTGAACATAAGATTCCAAGTAACTTTGCTGATTAATATCCACTTAAAGTTTTATCCTGACACGATAGTTGACTAACAATCTTCACTTTGTTGGAGAATGTTCTGAATTCAAATCTCATGGGCGACAGTTATATCAAAGAAGGTTTTATCCTTGATTTTGGCTAAACAACACTCCCCCTTAAAGTTGATAGGGAATTTTAAACACACCCTAACAATATTTTCCTCAAGTCTCAAATACGAAAAATCCCAAAGATAAGTTTACACCAAATACCTTGCCACTTAGTACTACAATTTAGTGATATTCCTCTTTACTTGTAAGTGAAAGGTTTTAGGGTCAATTCTCTCTAAATGTAAGGTTCTAAAAGACGTTAGATGCTAGTCAGGCAGTGGGTTGGGGCCTAGCGCCTAAGCAGGGCCTAAGCGGGCGCTTAGGTGGACTAAGTGAATTTAAGTAAATCTATTATATTTCGTTTAAATAAGTGTCTGCTTATACTTAAAATATTTATAATTTCACCTTAAACTTCAAAATAGAATGACATATATATTATGAAGTATTGGAACGTAATGAAAACATGGGTTATGTGTTCATTTGAGTATACAACAAGTCTCTTACAATTTATTGAAAAAAAAAAATGCAAAGTGAAAGTTATCTATTTTTTGTCTAAGTAAGTCACGACCTAGGCGGGTTTGAACGGGCTAAGTAGGTGCTTAGATGATCTAGGTGGGCACCTCAACAGGTTTAGGGGCTATTTCTTAATTTTTAAACATCTAGATATTAATCGAGGCAGTGGTCAACCCATTGTAAGGTTTAGCCCACTCCCCTCAACCCCTTTAGTGTAGATAAAATCGTATGCTAAAAAAAAAAAAAGTTTACACCAAATATCTTAAGTGATATTATCCTTTGGTAAGAGAACATAATAAACTCTGACATACACCAATACAGCAGAGGAATGTATCAATTAAATTAAGTTTTAGATCTGAATAAACAGCTGATCTGAAAAAAAAAAGTAATTAATTTAAAATAACTCACAGGACTAGGAAAATTGAAAGACAGATCATATGACGAAGTGATGGACCAATGCTCTACAGGAATGTTTAGAGTGCCCGCCCTTTTATGATATCCAAGCTCATCTCACTAGGATCTGTTGCCTGCAACTCCACTTGAATGCCTTCCAACTCCCTCTTGAATCTGTCCTTGGAGCTTGCATAAAGCATCTTACTTCTCACCCTTGATGTGTCGGGTGCCCTATATATGTACATCCACAAGAAGCCAATCAAATGGTCTATAGCTTTCATTAATCAATTCTAGTAGTTTTTCTTTACTTTTAAGGAATTTGATTGTCAATAATGGGTGTTTGAAGACTACGGTTCTCTTATTAGATATCTCTGACATGTTATGCCTACGAAATGATATCAATTAGAGCCTTAATTCTACCAAGATTCTTCCTAACATCAGTTCAGTTTTACCTTTTAGCCTAACAATCATAATACACAATACGTCTCGTCTGATAAGAAAACATCTCTAATTACATTGTGTTACGCAAATATACACATAATGAGCCATACATAACACAAGCAACTTAAGTAAAATCAATTTGTATACTTTTGTCTTCTTCTTTTTTCTTTTTTAGGACAAAAAAATCAATTTGCATACTAACCATGCAATGAAGAATATTTTGCTTTTCTGGCAGTTCTCATTGGTTGTAAAATCAAAATCATAGACGGCATAGCGGCACTCATCGGCAGGCATGGAGGCACTGAAATCATCGTAGCTTTCATCAGGACCTCCAAGCTTCTCTACAATCACCTGTTGTATCCTCTCCTCGATCTTGAACACAATAAATCGGAAATTTCTCTTCGCTTTTAGTTCTAAGAACTTGAGCTTACAATCATCATGCACAGCCATTCCAGACGCCGCGTTTGCCTACCCATCAATGTCACCGAAAATTAAAATAGTCTAACAGCATAATTGATTAGATTTTTGTAAGTCACAGTACAGTTTGTTTGGAACTGTGCGGTCCTAGAACAATTTAGCAACATAACATGTCAGATTATATGATAATCATAGAACAGTTTAACAACATAACATGTCAGGCTATCTAGCTAGCGAGAAAGATGTGTACGTCCCAAACATTATGATCATTGGAAAACAAGATAGATCAAGAGATTTGGAAAATGTTGAATTATGCCTGAAATTTCCCACATTAATGGGTCCAAAGAAAATGAAAACAGTTCCATAGCATCACAATTCGGAGGTAGAAAAAGATTTGATATGTGATAATATTAAGAAAACAAATCATCACAGATCTTCTACTCTAGCCAATAACTTTTATGATTTAGGACTGGTTTGGTATTGCTATGCTTTGAAAAAAAACTGTTTATGCCGCGAGAATGAGCTCATTTTTGCTGCTTCACATTTTCAGTTTTTTTTATACCCATTTTTTATAAAAGCACCTCAGTACCAAACCAGTACTTAATCACGCATACATTTCCATAATTACCTTCACAGAAAGAAAAAAAAAAAATTAGCTGGAGAGGACCATGCTTACCATGTTGATCTTCTATAGGAGATGAACCTTGTGCAATGAGAAAAGAAAATGCAGATAAAAGAGAAAGGTGCGACAGATATGCAAAAATCTCTGATTTTGATAACTGCATGGGAAAGTGAGTTTGGAAGGAAAAGAAAGGCAGGGGAGAAGAGATTTTTGTGGGAGAAAATGGGGGTCGGTATTTTCTTGGGATTTTATTTTTATCTTACTTAGTTAGGCTGATAACGTCAAATAAGTACATGTTGCCACGTTAAAGGGAGCATTTGGATGCCTTTTTGGCCAATAATTAAATGTGATTAAGATTTATAATCAAAGGGTTACATTGTTTGGGCGTTTTGACCGTGTTTTCATCTCCCATATTAAGATTTCTGGAACCTTGGTCTTCCATGTACTTCGCAATTCAGTTATGTTTTTAGAGGTGGCCAATATGGGGATCCAACTAGGGTTTGAAGCTGCATGAGTCATGAGTTATTAACTTTAAAGATAAATTACACAAAAATACTTTAATTATGGGTCGAATCATAATTTCATACATCATGTTTTAAAAATTACAATGTCATACCTCATTTACGAATTTATTGCAATGTCAAACCACATCAGTTTTTCTGTCAAATTTTCTGCTAAATATTGACGTGGCTTTAGGTGGAACCCACTTTCTAGCCCAATTTGATTAAAATTTTAATTAAATATTATTTAAAAAAAAATCATTTAAATATTTTTATAAAAATTGTGGAACATCATCAGCCTCACCTTTTTCCCCGACGACATCGGCCTCGCAGCCACTCCTTCGACTCCCCCTCCCTCTGTTGCTCTCCTACCTTCACCTCCTTCATACATATATTTTCCTTGTTCCCGGTGTTATTTCCGTCAAACAACAAAAAAATCCCCAAATGTCCATGTAACGACCCCCTCTCTCTTCATTTTTCCTAAATCCTCGCCACACTTGTAGCACACAAAGTCTCAACGGAAAGTAGCTCCATCCGCCTTGGAAAACGGCGACTCAGTTGAAAAACTTGACCAGCTGCTCCTCTCCTCCGCCGTTTGCAACAGCGAGGATGTGGGCCCCTTCGTTTGCAAGGCCTTCAGTTTCGGGAAGCTTGAGACGTGCTCCAACATCTCTAACACTTCTCCCGATCCAAGGAGTCAGAAATCGAGGAGGTTTGCAAGGTCCATTATCAAGATTGCCCTCCCTCTGTTGCTCTTCAACTTCACTCCAATTAGTTGATCCAAAGCATTTATTATTACACATGTTTGATTTTACTAGGGGTGGGCGTGGTGCGGTTTCAAGTGAAACTGCAACCGAAATCGAAATTTTTTGTAGTGCGGTTCGGCGCAGTTTTGAAGCCAAAACCGAAATGAAACCAAAGCGTTTGGTTCGATTTGGTGCGGTTTCAACCGATTTCGGTTTGGTTTTTTGGAAAAAAAATATACAATTTAAAATATAAACCTATTTACACATAAGACGGTCTTATTTTCCTCATATATTAATTAATGAACCTGGAGCAAAAACGGCAACAACAATGCAGCAAAACTACAACAAAAAACAGCGGCAAAATTGCAAAAAAAATGCAGCAAAACTGCATAAAAACTGAACAGGCTCGTATAAGTTCCGTGAAATTATTAATTCTAGCTTGTTGATTATAAACCTCGGTCCTATGATCAATTTTCTTTAAACAATATGCAGGTCGACAAGTAAGCTGCTCTCGCAAGAGAAGCACCTTCATGATCAACCTTCATCATCGAGGAAACCAGTGGCAAATTAAGTATGACTTGTATCAAATTGTGAATACTTTGTGATGCATGTTAGTATGAATAGAAGTATCGCAAATAAATCACTTTAAGGCGGCTTTGATGACATGAAAATAAAAACTTATGCAACAAAATCTAATTGAGATAGAATTAGAAAACAAACCAAATTAGAAAATCTAATTGATGTCGACTGTGGAAGAGATGAAGATGAGTTTTGAGAGAGAGTGACAGACATATGAATATGGTGACTCGAATAGTGTAGTTGAACTAATTAAAAGTTAAAACATAACATTCAAAATAATGAAGCGTTTTCGGTTTCGATGCGGTTTTGAAAACCTAAAACCAAAACCAAACCGTTTTCTTTGCCGTGGTTTGGTTTCGAAACCACAACCATTTTAAAACCGCAAAACTAAACCGTTCGATGCGGTCTGATTTGATTTGTGTTTCAATTTCGGTTCCAAATGCCCACCCCTAGATTTGACCTCCTATTCCCATCTTAATCAGACCTACTTAACTAATTTCTGTGGGTTAAAGTAATTGTCTTGGATTATTAAAACAAAATTGGGGTTGAGATCGAAAACGCACTAGCCGATTCTAATCATATTTATCCAGTTCCCATCAGCATGTGTCTTTTTTTTTTTTTTTTTTTTTTTTTTTTTTTTTTTTTTTTTTTTTTTTTTTTTTTTTTTTAGGGTTAGTTTCCTCTGCAATTTTCCGTCAAAATGGGCCGGAGTGGAATAGATTTTCTTGGCTACGACATGCTCTCTTTTCAAGATTGGGATTTGGGGAATATTGGATTTTTAGGGCTGGGTCTTGGCGTAGGCTTTGAGGGTTAAATCTCCGAAGAGGAGGGTCATGTTGTTGTTGACGACGACGTTGTAGAACCCGGATTAGGCTTCGGGTCTGGACCCGAACTGGGTTTTGGAGACGTATCAGAAGAGGGAATGTTGGGGGAGAGCTTCTTGGAGTCGTTCTTCTTCCAGAAGAGAAAGGGCTTGATGCGGAGGTGGAAGGAAGGGGAGGAGAGCGACAAAGGGAGGGGGAGTCGATGGAGTGGCCGAGGTTAATGCCTTCGGGAGGATTGGGAAAGAAGGGTAAGGGTGATGGGCTCGTAGGGTGTCAGTCCTACATTTTTTTAAAATAGTTAAATGATTTTATTTTAAATTTTGGGTAAATTACATTTTATCCCTTCAAATTTGAGATCGACTTCAATTTCTTACAATATCTTTAAAACATTTCAATTTCATAAATTTACTTATCATTTTTCCAATTTCATACATCTGTTAGAAAATCTGTTAAGTAAACCGTTAAGTGCTGATGTGGCTATCAAATTTGTGCGACGTGGCAAAAAAAATAAATTGTTTATGCATTTAAAATATTAAAATATTTGACCTATTTAAAAAAAAAAAAAAAAAAAAAAAAAAAAAAAAAAAAAAAACATACAAACCCAGAACCCCCGACCCACCTCCCTCTCCTCCACTCTCTGCACCTCCCCTCCCATCCAAAACCCACCCCATCCCACCCCACCCAACCCCTACCTCCCCCGCAACCCCCCCCCCCCAACTGTGTAAAAAATTTGAACTTTGGAATTCAATTTAATTTTTTTCTCACCTTGGGCTTAATTTCTGTTTGGCTACAAAGAAAAAGGCGTTGAGCCGGCTGGATCTGTCCATGGCATGTAGGGTGTTCGCGACGGAGGCGAAGTCACCGGTTCTGAAGCACCAGGAGAGGGGTGTGCACGATAAGGGGTGGGGTTGGGGGGGGGGATTGCAGGGTAGGTGGGGGAGGGGTGGGATGGGATGAGGTGGGTTTTTGGATGGGAAGGGAGGTGAAGAGAGTGGAGGAGAGGGAGGTGGGACGGGGGTTCTGGGTTTGTATATTTTTATTTTATTTTTTATTTAATAGGATAAATATTATAATATTTTAAATGCATAAAAAATTATTTTTTTGCCACATCACACAAATTTGGTAGCCATGTCAGCACTTAATGGTTTACTTAACAGATTTTCAAACGGATATATGAAATTGAAATAAAATGATAAGTAAATGTATGAAATTGAAATGTTTTAAAAATGTTGTAAGAAATTGAAATCGACCCCAAACATGAGGGAAAAATGTAATTTACCCTTAAATTTTTTAATCTAATTGGACATTGCAATAAATTTGTAAAATGATGTATGACATTGTAATTTTTAAAATATGAGGTATGAAATTGTGGTTCGACCCCCATAATTAAGGTAGTTTTGTATAATTTACCTTAACTTTAACTTTAATTTCACCTGGGGCTATGACTATGTGGATTGATGTGAGACTTTTTGGGTTGGTTTGGTATTGCTGTGCTTTGAAAAAAAAGCTGCTTCTACTGTGCTGTGAGAATAAGCAGCAAAGTGTTTGGTAAACTTTTTTGTAAAAGTGCTTTTGAAAAAAAAAAAAAAAAAGCAGAATTATAGTGTTTGGTAGACTTTTATGTAAAACAGATGTGAAAAAAGCTGGTTTTTCAAAGTTGGGTTTTGCAGCTTCTTGTTTTTGGCTTTTTTCCATCCAAAACTGTGAAAAAAAAACTGAAGCTGAATGTTTACCAAACACAAAAACAGCTCCCAGCTTTTTTTTATATCAGTTTTTTTCAAAAGCACCTCAGTACCAAACCAGACCTCATGTACCTAGAAAGAGTTGAGCATTTTATTTTTTTTATTGTCAATTAGTTTTATGAGTAAAGTACAAAAAACTACCTCAACTATTGGGGTCACGACAGTTTCATACCTCATTTTTTAAAATTGACAATGTCATACCGCATCTTACGAATTTGTGACAATGTCATACCTCCGTCAAATTTTCTGTTAGTTTTTTTGTTAAATGCTGACGTGGCAAGAGACGGGGACCACTTTCCATTAAAAAATTAATAAAATATTATTAAAAACTAAAAAATATATTTAATATTTTTTAAATATTAAAATAATAAATAAAATTAAAATAAAAAAAAAGGGTAAAGTACAAAAAACTACCTCAATTATTGAGGTCATGACAATTTCATACCTCATCTTTTAAAATTGACAATGTCATACCGCATCTTACGAATTTGTGACAATGTCATACTTCCATCAATTTTTATGTTAAGTGCTCACGTGGCTTGATTCGGGACATACTTTCAATTAAAAAATTATTAAAAACTAAAAAACAATTATTTAATATTTTTTAAACATTAAAATAATAATAAAAAGCAGAGGAAAAAAAAAAACCATCAGTTCGTCCCTCCCCTCCCCCTCCCCCCTCCTCTCTCTTCTCCCCATCTTTATTTTCTTCCCCCCACCTGCAAACCCAAAAAAATAAAAAAAATAAAAAAATTTTGAAAACCCAACCCCCTGCGGAAGAACAAGAAGGAGAAGGAGGAGGAGGAGGAAGAAGAAGAAGAAGAGGAAAAAAAGGAGGAAGTAAAAAAGAAAAAATTCCCCCCTGTCGGCTCGGAAGAAGAAGAAGGGAGAAGGAGAAGGAGGAAGAAGAAGAAGAGGAAAAAAAAGGAGGAGGAAGAAGAAGAAGAGGAAGAAAAAAAAAAAAAAATTTAAAAACCCATCAACACCCCCCTGCGGAAGAAGGAGAAGGAGAAGGAGAAGGAGAATGAGGAAGAAGAAGAAGAAGAAGAGGAAAAAAAGGAGGAAGGAAATTATTTATTTATTTATATTTTTTAAACCATCAACTCCCCTGCGGAAGAAGAAGAAGAAGAAGAAGAAGAAGAAGAAGAAGGAAAAAAAAAAAAAATTTGAAAACCCATCAAACCCCAAATCCACCACTTTCATCCATTCTCCACATTCTCTTCCGCACCCATCCTCCACCTTCTCTGCTCAACCACGGGATCTGGGTTTTTTTTTTTTTTTTTTGGTTGGGATTTGCAGGTGGGGGAAGAAGATGAAGATGGGGAGAGGAGAGAGGAGGGAGGAGGGGGGAGGGGAGGGACGAAATGAGGGTTTTTTTTCCTGCTTTTTATTATTATTTTAATATTTAAAAAATATTAAATAATTGTTTTTTAGTTTTTAATAATTTTTTAATAGAAAGTAGGTTCCAAATCAAGCCACGTTAGCACTTAACAGAAAAACTAACAGAAAAATTGATGAAGGTATGACATTGTCATAAATTCGTAAGATGCGGTATGACATTGTCAATTTTAAAAGATGAGGTATGAAACTGTCGTGACCCCAATAATTAAGGTAATTTTTTGTACTTTACCTTTTTTTTTTTAATTTTACTTTTATTTATTATTTTAATATTTAAAAATATTAAATATTTTTTTTAGTTTTTAATAATATTTTATTAATTTTTTAATAGAAAGTGGTCATTGTCTCTTGCCACGTCAGCATTTAACAGAAAAACTAACATAAAAATTGACGGAGGTATGACATTGTCACAAATTCGTAAGATGCGGTATGACATTGTCAATTTTAAAAGATGAGGTATGAAACTGTCGTGACCCCAATAGTTGAGGTAGTTTTTTGTACTTTACCCTAGTTT